GTGCTCTACACTGGAATTTGACACAGCATTGTAAAATGATTATAAATCAATAAAAATGTTAAAAAAAGTCAACACAAATCAAAGATGTTTAAGGGGAAGAACCAATGAATTGGGAGACGAAAGAACAGGATTCTCTTCCCAGCTCTGCCACCCTCTGGCTTTCCGGTCCTGGGTATTTTGGGTTCTACCTCTGAGCCTCAGTTTCCTTAGCAATTAAATGAGTTGATGGACCTTATGGCATCATGACTTTGTACAGAGAGTGGCTTTCCTGCATGGCTTCTAAGCCAGACTACTCGGCTTCAACTCCTGCTGCCCCTTCCTGACTCTGTGCCTTTGCAAAAAGCATTTGTCTGTGCCTCAGTTTGCTCACCTGCAAGATGGAAATAATTGCCTCAGAAGTTGTTATAAAGGTGAACTGTGGCAACCCATGTAAAGTCCTGAGAACCAGAGCTGCCATGTAGTCAGGACTACATAATGGTTAGCTATTGTCAGCATCTGCTCTGAGTTCCAATGGCTTTGTTTCTACAAAAGATTAACTTTCAGCTGAAGTTTCATAGACATTCATTTAGCAGAGTCCTGGCACACCTACTCTAGGCCGGGAATACAATGACAAGACAGTGGATAATCTCTGCCCTCGTAGAACTTACAGGGTAGCGGGAAATGCAGACATTAAGCCAGCAACTATGAGTGCGATGTGTGGTCTAGAGGCAGGTGAAGGAAGGAAAGCAAAGTGAGACCTAGAAACAAGAGAAGCAGAGTCCTAGATCAGGCCTAAGATAGCGAAGCTGAGAATTACGGGTTTTCCCATAATGCTTTGCACGGGTCTCTGGGGTACCCATCATTCCTGCGGGTCTCCCAGCCCTACATGGAACATGCTGCAGGCTGCTTTGCACATGCCTGACCTTGCATGGGCCTAACACACACTGGCACTTGACAGATGTCTGCTAATTAATAATAATGAAAGTTCTGAGAGTACTGACTAGATTAAGATGGTGATTAATTTTTATGTTCCACTATATTCATCTCAAGTTAGTTGGACCTTCCTGGGAAAAGAAGGAATCTGAAAGATCATCTTTTTTTGTTGTTGTTGTCTGTTTTCTCACGCAGGAAGCAGGTGTGTATGGGGATGCTCAGAGCTCAGCTGTTCACGGGCAGCAGAGGCAGCCTGTCTCTCCCTGGACGAAACGCCCCAGGGGGGATCACCTCCTTTGGGCTAAACTCTATTTAATCAGCTGCTCTTGTCACAATGGTAATAGAATTATTAGGCCTCATTCAGAAAACAAGGCTTGAGAGAAAGAGCCCCAGAAAAGGAAAAGGCTCATGGGCTGGGCAAGGCCACCCTCATCCTAAAGAGGAGCCTAGAGGAGTCTGTCAGGAGGACCTGGCTTATGCAGAGGCCCAAAAGGGGATGGGCACAGGGGGACCAGGATGGTTGGAGGGGACCCGGGATGGGCAGAGGGGACCCAGCATGGGCAGAGGGGGACTGGGATGGGCAGAGGGAAAGAAAACTCCCCTCTCTCACCCCTTAGTTGGGCCAGGCTCACAGTATTAAAAAAAAAAAAAAACTTAGGAAAACTAACAGACCACACAACCCAGACACTTATTTCTGGAAAAACTCCCAGACTGTGGGAATTGTTCATACCTTAGTCGTCCACTGGGCAAAACTTGTGGAAGTTTCGGATGCTCCAGGCTGTAGTAGCTGGAGGATCTCACCATTAGGATTTCGGGTTTTGATGTCAGATTCATTTCCCACGTCCCTAAGGGTCCTGTAGCGGCTGAATGTGACAGAATTATCAGAGTCATCCCATCCTCCCCACACCTTCCAGAAAGAGAAAACTATTCAATTTTGGCTTTTGGTAAAAGTATGTCTTTAAAAACTCTGCACAATGGGAAAGCAATGTCTCTCTCTCTC